AAAGTCAGGATAAGCATTTGGTTGCTAATATGACCAGCTAATGTTTGTGCTTAGCTTTGTGGCTACCTGGTTAGTTCTCAAAGGCTGCAGTTTCAAGACTCTACATCGAGAAAGCTAAGAGAAAGAATTTATTGAAAATTTTGCATACTTTTGGCCGCAAAAATCTTTTCGACCTAGAAAAGATATCCTAAGACAGTGAAAGGTTATCTCCGATTAAACATTCAATAATAAGATAAGAAAATGTTGGGAATGTTGCTTTTTTTTTTAAAGTCTGTACACGCAATTAGGCAGTGTAAAAATTAGCATTTTTATTTATTTAGATAAGGTAAACAAATAATTAATCTATATTCTATTTTCTAATTTTTAACTAATATATACGCCATAAATCATGATCTGTTTCCTTAGAAATTCAATTAGTTAATACAACTATACAGGTATGATATTTTCTATGGTTTTGACTCACTCCTACTTTATGAACTCATTCATATATATGATATAACAATATACGTGAGCACGCCGCACATATCCACACTTGGGAGTAGGGAGAAAGAAAACACAATTGTTGGTTCAAAGTGTGTCCAAAATAAATCCGACATGTTAATGGGTTGAAGATTGGGGTATCATGCAATGATTTTGGATCCGACACCATAATCCTGTGGATTTTAGTTATCTTCCCCATATTTCATTGCAATGGGCAGTACACTCTGTTCTTGTTTTCTGATGGCACACTGAAGCCATGACTGCATGCTACTGTCAACATGAATTTTTTTTTTTTCCATCTCTTTCTAAAGTGATCACATGCAACATGGACCTAGGTAGCCAATATTTTTCATGCTTATAGCCAGCTTGTGTTTATCCGACCGGGGAAGGCCATGAGATTTTTCAAATCTTTTTTCAGCTAGTAAAGGGATAAGGCGCACCCACCCACTCACAAGATTTGTAGGGTTCACGTGAAGAAATAATTGATAAAAAGGCTAAATAATAACTGAATAACATATAGTTTCACTCACTTAATTTGCAAGCTAATTAATATTTTGTCACGCAAACGTAAAAAACTTCCATCTAAATGCTCTTATGTGGCACCCACCTGCTAATTTTATAACTTTCAAATCATTATTGTTTTTTAGAATTTACTTTCATATCTTAAGGTTGTTTTAAAATAAAAATTGGATAAGATTAAAAAAGAATTTGAGTAGGTTTAACAATAAACTTAAGAAATATTAATTGGCAAAACTTCTAAAATTATCATGTGAATGTCATGCATATTGGAATATTTGGTGAAAGTTTTCACTTTTGAATAATATACGGTACTAACATGCCAATTTTATACAATTTTTAATATGTATGTGCAAATCTAGTAGAACTATGTGGTTTTTAATTCCTATTCTGCAATTATGAAAATAAAAAATCACGATTAAAAAGAAGTAGAATGTGACACATGTCTAATATCAATTTTATATTGACACAAACAATTAAGATATTAGTGTAAAAAAATACTGATGCAATAAAGATAATTAATACGAATATTAATGTAGTGGCCAGCAAAAGTGAAAGGGAATTTTCTGTTATTGTTATTCTCTTTTGTTACATTTTGTTGTAAAATATGAACAACAATAACAGTTGTAAATTATGATACATTTTTTTATCTCCATACAACATGTGTCGCACAAATGGGGCGTGACACATACAAAAAATGTGGGGCAGAGCATGTATAGAGAGCGTCTTTCTACACATCCCGAAACTTATGACACATACATGTGTCATTAAATTTGTGTCATATACATGTGTAACAAAACTTACGACATTTATGTGTGTCAAGAGTGATGACACATGTATATGTCACAAAACTCATGACATATATATGTGTTAAGAGTAGTGACACATAGTTGTGTCTAAACCATAAAAATGTAAAGAGTATCATCTTTTAACATATAACTTTCTAGAAGGTCACCCATTTTAGAATTACTCTCACCAAAACAAACTTAATTGTAGAGTTGTTTGGCTTTATACTATCATAAAACGTTTAATCATCAATATATTTAAAATATAAGACTTATTATTTAGGCCCTCCAATAGATCCTCACACAACCACTGTGGGACTTTACCCTTTTTCAGTTTTATTTTATTTTATATCTAATGACACAAATATGTGTCATGATTTGTCAAACTTTATATTTGTGTCACTATTGTTTAACCCTTTATATATAAATAAAGTGAAACTTTTATGTGTATCATAAAATAAGTGAGTACACATGCAACTTTGATATAGTGATGGCAACATGGCATATTGTAAGTGGTGACATCTCGAAGTGGATAACTAGTTTATTGTGAAGAAAATTTTAGGTAAGTCTCCTTCTATCCTCAGGCTCTGTGGGGGCGTTGCATATTTTGCTATGAAAATGCTGAATTTCATATAATTTTAAAAAATAATGGAGAGATGAACGGTCCATTATTAGATATTAATTACTTTCTCTCCAATATAAAGATGTCCACTATACATGGTTCACATGGATTTTATTGCTTTATTTCTTATCTATTTGCCGCTTAACTTTTATCTTTTATAACTTTAAACATGACAGCGGCTGATTCTCTTGTTCTATTAGATATTTGCAGAAACTCTATGCTTTCTAGAATAGTTGATATACAAAAATATTGTACCATTATTCGACTACAGATTTGATAGAAAATCCTCTTGATTTCGAGATTTTCTGCAAAATCAGATTCATTATTATTATTATTATTATTTTTGAAAATAGGACTGAAAAAATCAAATGCCCCATGTCTCAACTCCGTATGGCAACAACATTAATCCTCGGCCAGAAATATTTCCCCCTTTGTCTAGAGAAAACAAGATAAATTAAACCTTTTCGGAGATACATATTAAAATATCACATAATCCAATATCTTATCCACATAATCCAATGAGAAGCAGATTAAAGGGAAAAATAAATTAAAATCTCACCTCTAGAACAAACCTTTGGATGTATGTTCCACCAAAATGACATTTGTGGAGGGTGGAAAGCCTCAAAGCCCCTCATATCATTAGTGATTGAACCTAATAGACACAACGTAGGACCCATGCCCACCACGAAAAAGATTAAACATAAGGCCAAATGAACCCCTCAAATCACTGGCGCACACCAAAAATTTTCAGATCTACGTACTCACCTTTCTCTCTCTCTCTCTCTCTCTCTCTCTCTCTCTCTCCCCTCGGTTCACGAGAAAGCTTGAGAACCAACGAAAAGGTAAGTCCACGTAAGCCCTAGAATCCGGATTGACAAATCAGGGAGTGCCATGTCAGTAGATAAGAAAACTTCTCTATAGTGAACACGTTGGTGTGGAGAGTGATGGGCTATGAGGTCGCCCAATTGTTGACGTGCATACGGGGGACAAGTTGGGAAGCTTATGAAATTGCCCTTGGTTTTATGAGTAACTACCAATTTATTGGGTGTATTTGGATATTCTTCACTGTCCCAAAAAAAATAAAAAGTAAAAATAAAGATCACACCCTCACACCTCTAATCAATAATATGATTACTAACCAAACATTTTATTGGGCGTATTTTGGATATTCTTCACACTGTCCCAAAAAATAAAAAAGTAAAAATAAAGACAACCCTTCTAATCAATAATATATGATTACTAACCAAACAATTTACTTTTCTAAAGCTAGGTGGTTTGTCCATTTTCCTAACTTGGTATGGTAGGGGTTTGAGGAGGGAAGATAATGTGAGGGAAGGTGCAACGAGGTGAAGGAATGAACATCTCTTTGAGCCTTTACAAATGGTTGGAGGGGAGGAGAGGAGCGATGCATTTTTTTTTTTGTATTTTATTTTCTCTCTCCTCTTAAATCCTCCCCGTTTGGAGGGATTCATCTCTCTTTAACTTTTAGTTGATTTTGCAGTATCCTATCACCACCTCTCTCCTCCCCTCACTCTACCACCCCCCCTCTCTTCTTTTCAAAACGTCCTACCAAAGGCAAATTAAAATTCTATCCCTCCCCTCTCATCACATTCCCTCCTACTAAACCAAGCCTTAAAAAAACAAGCTTGTTGACATACCGAGGTTTTTGAAGGGTAATATCCAATAATTATGATGAATATTTGGTCTGTGCATTAACAATTTATTTATGAGATGAATATCTAAAATTTGTGATGGACTTGATATTTGGTCTGTGCATAACAATTTATTTCTATGATGAATATTTGGTCTGTGATTGAACCATATTGTAAACCAAATTGTAATTATTTGAACTCAGAGAAGAAGGAAGAACAGATTTTGAGGGGGGTTCCGCTAATGGGTAAGAGGTTTTTCACTTTCTTCGTTGTGATTTCTCAAGGAGAATTACTCCTCCATTTATAGGGGCTGAACCCACTAACTCCACCCCCCAAGATCCGCCCCAATGAGAGATTTTCTCTCAAAGTACAACCCTTCCACGATCCACAATTCTCTCTACTGAGAATCGTTGATTTGGTCACCATGACCGAGTCAAGTTCCACGATCCACAATTCTCTCTACTGAGAATCGTTGATTTGGTCACCATGACCGAGTCAAGCTAACAGTAATGAATACAGTTTAATCATTGCGACCACGGATAATCCATGCATGATGATACTTTGGTATGATCGTACATATTTATCATTTAATACGTGTTTTAATTTTACATATATAACCTCAATTAGAACCTTAAATCTATTCTCTACTTGATTGATAGAGTCTAAAGAGTATTCACCCTGGACGAGAATCATTTTTCCCAACTATTTGGACACCTAATAAGTTGTCAACTTCACACCATAAGTATTGTCATTATTCATTATCAATTTGTTAAACGATATTACTTATTTTGGCTAGTTACGTATATATTTTGTAATGAGGAGAGAATTCTTTAGTTCACGATGGCAATATTAAATGGAAAAACGAAAAAAACTACAACAACAAAGGCATCATATAGAGAGAAAAAGCATAGGCCTTCGTGTGGGTCCAGGCAGTTGTCCCGCTGATGAAAACGGTGATTGTCCTTTCCCCTGTTCCATCCTCTCAAAAACTCCCCTGCTCTCGTTCTCCTCTTCTCGAATTCCTCGACCCACTCATTTCCTTCCTCTTTCTTCCTCCAAAATCTCAGCAGTCCTATTGATTCTCTGACCTTTTATTATTATTTTTATCCTACCTATAGCGCTCTCTCTCCCTCCCTCTCTCTCTCTCTCTCTCTCTCTCTCTAGTACTTGCTCTGTTTGTTATACTGCAAAGATTCATACTCTTCTCAGCTAAACGCATCCATGTCTTTGTTTACCTTATTTTGACATTACTTTCAGGTAATTCAAGAATACCCCATTTTTTTGCTGCCCATTTCTCACTCTCAATTGCCCAGTTTCATTGCAACTCCAGCAAACAGAGGTTCCCTCTGTTTTCCCCCTTAAAAGTCGTACTTTTTTCAGCAGTGCTTGCTCATTCGATTGAATTGCTCTTCGAAGAGAGATTGTGTTGAATAATTGGGTAGCTAGCTTTCGTGAGCTAGTTTTTTGGTGGGTGGGAGTTTCGAGATGGCGTATAAGGTTCTGCAGGGGTTTTACAAGGGTTTAAGATTGGCGAGCTTTCTTTTTTGTTAACTCTAAATCTTGGAATTCAACATGGGTTTCAAAAAATATTGAACCCGGCGATCTCGAGTAACCATTTCGGCTCCTGGGTATAAGCAATTCGATCCAGCTTCCATAGAATTCTCAAATTCTTCAAAATGTCAATCCTCGCCGGCGGAGGCCGAACCTATGGTTTCGAAATCGACCTAATAATACCCTCCTCCTCCTACCTCCTCCTCCTCCCGCTCTGTCCTCCTCCATCCTCCCTCTTCCACATCTCTGAATCTTCGAACTCCCCCCTCACAATATCCACCAAAAGACCTCGAGCCCCTCGAAAGAGACCGAACCAATCCTACACTGAAGCCGCAGCCCTCCTCTCCACAATCTACCCCAACCTTTTCTCCTTCAAAAGCCTCCACAAGCTCTCTAAACACTATAAACCACCTCCTTTCCCGGTCCTCAACGAATGCGGGTTTCTGATTGAAAACCCGTCCCCGATCCCCCAACTCCCTATTCATTTCGGATCCAAACGCGCTAGCCCGAGTAGCGAGAAGTCCTGCACTGAGTATCAGGGCCAGGGCTCGCCCGAATGCTCGGATTATGATGTGGAGTCCATTCTCGATGAGGAGGTCGAAGAGGGGATTGATAGCATTATGGGGAATTTGAGTATGGAGAATTGTGAGCCTCAGTCTAGCGCTCATGAGTTCAGGAATGAACTCGGGTTTGGCTTTTGGAGAGAAAATATCCGACAGGCGATCCGGGGGTGCCACGCAGGAGACTGGTGGAGGCCGATGGCTGCAGTGCCGGTGGGCGATATAATTCCCAAGCTCAAAGCTTTGCCTGCGGCGGAGAAGAAGAAGACCAAGAAGAAGAAGAAGAAGAAGAAGAAAATTGAGGACATAAGGGATGAGGCTGAAGTGATTTCAGAAAAAACAAAAGATGTTGCTGGTTCAGTAGATGTAGTAGAGCTGAAGAGTGGCTTGTCTTAAACTGAATCATGAAGATGTGGTTAAGGCTTGGTCAGATCGTGATTTTCCAATCTCCACTGAATCTGGAGCTGCTGAATCCTCGGCTGATGTCCTGGTACGTATCTAATCACTGTGAATTTTACATAATATGACTTCTTAAATGAGAATAATTGATGAAGCAGGTCTTGAACTTTTACTGTCAGAAAATATTTACAACCCAGTTGATTGCATGAACTAAAATTTCTAGTCTATTCATTTTTTTACTGGTGGTCATTTTTCACACGGACAAAGTTACTGCTTTAACTTTGTTTAAAAGGAGAAAAAAAAACCAACGTCCAGTCTCAGGTGCCTTCATATACTTTGTGTGCTCGTATAATGCTAAATGCTGAGGACGCATAAATTACAAAGTAAACCCTTTTATTTATATTCAACATTTACACTCTACTCAATGTCTTCATGTTTTTTTTGGAACACAAATGCCAGTATCTGTTTGCCATTAGAGAACGTACATAAATATAGTCTCTTAAATAATTTCTTCTGCATACTCTGAACTTTCATATGACAGATTTATAACAGTAAATCTTTAGATATTTTTTGTTGTTGTTGTGGTTCTTTAAAATTTTCTTTTGATAATGGGATTAATTTGGCAGGCCAGGCTAGCAGATATTGATCTGTTACCAGAGAATGAAGGTGGAGTAAGAGAAGCAAGTGTTCAGAGATACAAAGAGAAGCGAAGGAACCGACTCTTCTCTAAAAAGATCCGATACCAGGTTCGGAAGATGAATGCTGATCACAGGCCACGAATGAAGGCAAGTGAAAGATTTTACCAGTGCATAATCAAAATTTATAAGTATTTGAGTCAATTTTAATCTTTAGAGAACCAATGTTAGACTTCAAGATAGTAGTTTTATAATTATATTTAACAGACCTATCACGGGTAGCGTAGGTAGCCAGGGAGCGCAATGCTAATCCTGCAAACACTCCCAGGTTCCTAGTTAGATCCCGTCTGCTTAACCTGGAGTGTGAGAATGGGAGGCTGTACCCGCACACCCATGGTTTACTTAGTAGGGGTCGGGATCAAACTCCAGCTTTGACCTGGGATCCTCTTGCTTTGTCAAGGTTTCGGTATCCCGAAAATAATTACATTTAACAGCTTATCATAATTACTATTTAGACAGTAATGCTGACAACAAAACCCCAGGTTTATTGGCTTTTATCTAACATTTGAATATAGGCTAAATTTGATACTTGGCTTTTCAAATGGGAAATTCATGATGCTGGAAAAGGTTTAAGACGTATAAGTCACCCAGAAATAAAATCTCCAATGATTTAAACATGTTTTAACCATGTATCAAACGAAGACAATTATTCAATTTTATCAAATTTCAAAACACAGATTTTGATGTCATATAACACAGCACTGAAACATGTTAACCTATTTAAGATCTTTCTTTTAGGTATCCTATGAATGATCGATATATCACATTTAACTGTGTAAATTTTCAATTTAGAAAGAAAAATTCAAAATTTGAAGTCATAACATCCACATATTAGATGTAGTCAATAGTAGCCTACATCAAGTAGTCGTCCGCATCAACTTTATCATAAGCTATCTCAGGAGTTAGAATTAAGGTGTTTTCATCAAATTTGATTAAGTAATTTTTTTAAAAAGTTTTAGGACGTGAATATTTTTTATATTTGAGTCACCACAATCCCATTATACACTCTTCTTTTATCCTTTGTATACTCGTGATATACATCTGATTCTTCCGTTACTTTATGCAGGGTAGATTTGTCAAAAGGCCTGATCTACTTCAGGAGGCAATTGAGGAAGAAAGCCAATGAAAATGGATTCTGTAAATTTTAGGCATCCAAAATGGATTCTATAAATTTTAGGCATGTTTGGATGTCAGAACAAGTTTTGGTGGAAGAAAAGAAATCTTTCAAATTTTGCAAGAATCATTCTCAGTTTTTTTTATTTTAATTTTAATTTTTATTTTAGGAAAAAGCACCAAATTTGGCTGACATTGTTGAAGAAGAAGAGAGATAAGTTAATAATTTGTGGGAAAGAAAATGCTTAAAATTAATGACTTTGCAAATTCTATTACAGCCAGTAAATCTAATATATAAGCATTTGTAAGGTCGAAGGTGAGGTGATCATCAAAGGCTATATTAGGAACTTATATCCTTGTGATTCACTTCAAGTATATATGTGTCTTCTTGATATCATTGTCTACATAATTTCTACTATTTCGCACAAAGTATTTCCTCTCTCTTTCAGTCAGATGCATGGTACTTCCTCTGCTTTGAAAAATATTGAAACAATAGCACTACCCCATTTCCCTTGCACATCAAAAATTGACTAGGACGTAATTTGGGAACCTCCAAGATTTTCTTTTGCTTGCAATTCTCTTTGGAACTTCTCTTGCATCTGACATGTCACAGAGTATGAAGTTATAAAAAAAGGTCAAACAATTTTTCCTAATTATTAGTACTAGAAAGTAAGTAGGTCTTCAGAACTGCAGACTCGAATATGTTTAGCGTTATAGCTTTATATTCACATATATGGAATAATCTCCTTGCTCTAAAATATAGCAGTAGGATGCAATTAGCTTAATTTTTAAGATAGTATTAATTACTAAATAAGGATTACAAAGACAACTATCAGACTACACGCAAAAATCTTTGGCAAATTGAATAAACTGCTCATGAATGCTTATGCCATGATAGTTAGATGGTCATGATTCCTTGTTAAAGTACCCAGTCAAAACTGTCATAAATTTACACGATCAAGTACGTCTATTTACTGACATGTGAAGTTACAAAAAAAAATGTAGAATTCTTAAATTCGGTGGACTGGATTTGGAGCATATAAATCTGATTAACGCACTGCAAAATCAGTCTTGGCTGAAAATCGATAGCATAGACGGAAAACTTTTGTTTCCTCCGCGTAACATATTGTATGAATCTAACAACAGTTTTTTTATTGTTAGGGAGAAGTTTATGAACAGAAAATTCATGATTAAACTCCCAACTTTTTTCATGCACTAGGTTTTATGCACGTGCATTGCACGTGGGTAAATACAATAATTAAGTAGTTTTGATTTATTTCCTTACCGAAATTTATTCACCGCTTCCATTTTGATAGTTTTTGCTCTCTTATAACTCTAAACTTTAGCATTATGATTATTATTATTATTTATGTTTGTTTGAATGCGCTACACCGAATTTAAAGTTTCGTGTTGATAATTGAATTGACAAGAAATAAATGTAATCCAAAGTCAAATTGAATTTTTATTTTATTTGGACCAATATGAAACCGAACATGACTTGGAAGCATAGTGTTGCGAAAGTGAAAAACACTTGAAAAAAAGCATTGTAAAAAAAAGATGAATAATTAAAGCCAATAAGAGCCAAGATGATTGATTAAAAAAATGGCCTAGAACGAAACCAAAGAGAATAAGAAATTTATTCCTAATCATTGACAGGTTTCGTTAAAAAATCATAAACTAAAGATTAATGTTAACTCTAGTACCATTTATATAATAAAAGTATCCACATAAGTATATAAATATACTTAAAAAATTCATGAAAAATTCCTGCTAAAGATTCTTTATTTTACTCAGAAAAATCAAATTATTCTATAAAATATTCAGAAAATAATAATGCTTTTTATTCATTCTGTTTTTTTAGTAAAGTCGAGATCAATCATTCTCCACCTTTATCTTTTTCCTAGGCAATTCTAAAGCGGTATCTCGATTGTGACATTTGGCCGGAGCTAAATTTCTTGTGATGTTATCTTTTTCTGGGCTCGTTCATCTTTTATCTTCTTATCTTACATTACAAAAAAGTTCAACGTATTTCTGATATTCAACACAAACTTCTGAAAATATGGACTTTGATTATTTTTCTGTTTTAATGAGAATAAATGTTAATTTCATATATATGAATTTTTTGTGTTGCTAATTATTACTTAAATAAGGTTAAGAGTTACTTCTTTTTTCTCCGCAATGAATTCTTCTATTGTGCAACCTATAAGAGTTTTCACTATATCAAATAATGTTATTTTTGCTCTGTCCGTGTCATTTTTCATGAGGACCTGAACTAAATAACTGCATTTTTCATTATCAATTTGCTTTAGATTGTATTATTAATATTTGATTTTGATATGTTTATTTCATGAATATTTCTTAATCTTGATGCTATGTCTTCGGGTATTCTGTGAAATTTATTATTTGGGCACTCTTATTAATATCTCTATCCACCTTCTTATTGCAATCTTTGCATGCATAGAACCACGGCTCAACTCTATCATAAATGATAGTTATCTTAGCATTAGAGGCACGATAACATGTCTATATATTGATAAAATATTTTTAGGTTTAATTGTGTAAATTTTAGAGTAGATCTTATAAGATCACACCTCTTACGAATGTTATGATGATTGTATATATCAGTAATCTGAATTTGTGTTGTATTTGTAAAGAGTCTTAATGGATTTGCTTTTGCCTTGGCAGCTTGCTCTTAATGAGTCTAGTATATTAGCTTTAAAATATAATATTTTTCTATTATATTATATGGATGTTTGCTTGGTATACTTGCTATTCTCTTATTTTTTTCAGTAAGTTGTATTTTTTGGGTTGATATATATTGTTGATATAATTTACGATAATATACATATCTTCCCTATAAATTTGAGACAGATATAAAGTGAATTTTATGTTTAGTGTTCTTTAATAAGAATTTTAGTAATGAGATATGTCTCCCTCATATTTAAAAATCTTAAAATCTAATAGTACTATTACATGCTTACTTTGAGTATGTCATCCATAAATGATCCTTTGTTGGTAATCATATCCCCAAATAAAGTTACATGCAGAGTCATGCCACTATATAGGAAAAAAGAAAACTGTCGATTTTAATTTTTTTACTTACGCTATTATAAATAAATATCATGTGTATACATTTTGTCTATTGTAGTGTTTTCCCTCCCCTTATATAGCTTGTTATATTTCACAATATAATTAATCAATGACTTCAGCTAGTTCCTATTACAAGATTATTTTTATGTAATTTTATATTAATTTTATGATTCTTTTAATATTTAAAGAATAAAATTTTAAAAAATATAAATACTTACTAATTTTTCTTGTATCTTTTACAAAGAATGCTTCTTTGATTGGGACACGTTGCTTAATATATTCCTCAAGGGGAACTCGGTTGATGCTTATTTAATAGATATGTCTTCTGCTAATGTCAATTAAAATGATTCATAAATGTTTCTGAATTTTGGGTTTATTTCCTTAAATAACTTCTATATTTGGTGTGTACTGGTTATAAGTTTTAAAATTTTAGAGTTTTTTTATGATTTTTAACTTTTAAGGGAGTTTTTGCAATTTTTATACATTTGAGTTTTTTCACATTTTAAGAGATTGATGTAATTCCTTGAATTCATCTATGTTAATTGCAAATTTTGAAATTCCAGAATTTTAGGGTGATTTTTTGTAATTTAAACTTTTGAGATTATTTTTACAGTGTTTTAAATGTTAAGGGTGTTAATTAAAAATTTTAAACTCTTTGCGAACTATTGTTAATTTCTATATTTCATTTTTATTTTTTGGGTTTTAAAAATTCGTGATTTTTTGTGTAATTTTAAACTTTTGAGTGTGTTTTATATAATTTTTGAAAATTTTTGGGTTTTTTTGTAATACTTAATGTATTTTCTTAATCTTATTTTTTTAAACTGTTCAGCTATAGGTAATTTATTTAGGATTAGTATATGATATAATTAATATTAGGATAAAATAAGATTTAAATGGGATATTTGAAATAGTATTTCATGTATTTTATTAATCTTATTTTTTAAAATTATTGAGTTCTAGGTAGTGCACATTGGATTAGCATCAGATATAATTAGAATTAGGAGAAATTAATATTTAAATAAAATATTTTAAATAGTGAAGGGTAATTTTGACCATGGAAAACTTTTCTAAAACTTGTGCTTTTAAAGGAAGTATGACTAGGTGTGATGCACATGGTCAAATATTTTGATTGTTTCTTTTAGGTTTACTTATTTATGATTAGCATAAAATATATTGTAATTTTCAGATGTCTCTATGGGTACAAAATTGCGTTTGTTTCAATCTTTTGTCTTCCGAAGAAATAGTACATTTTAGAGTCTTAAAATATGTTGTTCTGAATAATAATAGCCTCTTGAAAATGTAAAATTTACAAACATAAATACCCAAAATTTACACAAAACAACAATTCAAAATTATAAAAAACAATAAAAAATGTTTAAAAGTTACAAATTATCCATTGAGAATTCGAAAACTGCAAAGACCTTGAAATTTTCAAATTTATAATGAACACCTTAAAAGATCTAAAAATTACTAAAAACACCCTAAAAGATAGAAAATTACAAAAAACACCTTGAAAACTTAAAATGCCCTGAAAATCTAAAATTTCTCAACAATACCCTTTAAAAAAGAGGTTCATAATTTTCTAATTTTTTTAAATGTGAAAATCTAAAATTTCAAAACAATACCCTTAAAAAAAATGGGTGCTTTTTGTAATTTTAAAATTTTAAGGCCCATTTGTAATTTTTAAGATATTTAGAGGACTATTTCTAAATTTTGGACTTCAAGATGTCATAATTTCTAATTTTTAGGGTGATTTTTTTTCAAATTTAAAATTTTAGTGGTCATTTGTAATTTTCATATTTTTTATGTGACTATTTATAATTTTCTAAATTTTCATAGTGTTTTTTACAATTTTTTTCAGGTTGTTTTGTGTGAATTTCATACTTTTCAGAGGGTTGTTTGAAGTTTTTAAAATTTTCGTGAAGTAATAAATAGGTTGTTTCACAAACGGACCACATTGGAAAAAGAAGCATGGTATAAGAAGGAAAATAGACAAATGGATACTTTAAGGGGCAAAATATACTTTAAGGAGGATGCACTAATTTTGCCCTAAAATATATTGAAATGTTTTGGATGTCTCCATTAGGGGTGTCCAAAAAGCCCGGAGCCCGGACCCGGCCCGGTCGTGCCTGGGCCCGGGCCCGGAAACCCGGGCAAAACCCGGGTCCGGGCCCGGGCCCGGGTCGCCGTTGGCGAACCCTGTCCGGGCCCGGCCCGGGCCCGGAACAGTGCCCAAAAATGGGCACTGGTTCTTCGAATGGCCGGGCCGGCCCGGCCC